CGATGGGGCAGTGGATTTCATATCTCCTGTTCCAGGTGGTGATACCAACTTATGCTTATCTCAAATGAATCTGCCGTTGGGCAGGTATGTATGCTATTGTAAGCCAATAGTTTGAGAATGACATAGTCTGGCATTGAGGACTCTGATGGAGATCAGCATATGCCTATACCCAAGCAGGCCTTTTAGAAGGAGTAGGCAGGGGTTCCCTGCTTTCGTGGGTTTATGGCTCAACCTTGGCATTATTGTAACGTAGTTTTTTGTGTTTAATGTTTCTTAGACTTGGTTTTCCATTGCCAGCATGGAAGGAACCCTAATGCATGAGTTTCAGAGGAGAAAGTAGCAGTTCTGAACCTGCTGTGTGGCTCGATCAGCAAGCGTGAGTATTAACGCTAGAGCTGTCAGGCCTTGTGAAAATTAATGAAGCCTGACGGTTACCCAGTGAAAGGTCAGAGGCAGAGCTTGCACTTACGTAACATTTGTATTTTGTTGTGTCTAACAACAGTGTGAACAAAGGAGAGCTTTTATGCGTGAGCCTTAGATTTATCACAGGACTTCATAGGTCTTGGCCTTCTCTTTTCCTTGTGTTGTAGCTTGATGTTTTCCTTGCATAAAACCAAAGTATTTAGTTGTTTGCTTTTTATGACCACCTTGATTGATTTTTCCCATGCTTTTCAACTGTCCTTCCAGTCTCTGTCCAACTCAGTTACCACTTTTGAAACAGACAGCAGTTAAAGTAGTGATGATGATGAAAGTTTTGTTAATGAATTTTGAGAATGCCTGATGTTAGGCCCTGTGTGTGTGTGTGAGAGAGAGAGAGAGGGAGGGAGGGGAGGGGGAGGGAGGGGGGGGGGGGGGGGGGGGAGAGAGGTAGATAAGGGCCATCATACTGTTGCATTACATTTTACAGTTTGAGATTATATGTATATTTGAATTACATTTGGCTGATTTGGAGAATACATTGATCATTTCATTGAGCAGTAGTGCTTCAAAAGTGGCTCTTGCTTTGCCTTAGTCTCCTTGGTTATGTTTACCAAGAAGTCTGTTAAAGTCAAGCATGTTGAAAAAAAAGAAGCAGCTTGAACAAACCATAGGAGTTGGATTAAAGAGAATAAATGTTGCATTCCGAACAATCATTCTGACTTCTAAATATTGACTATGTTGGGGATAGCACTGGAGAGATCAGTTAAATTACAGAAAAGTAAGATCACTGAAATGAAGGGGAAATATGTTTAGTTCTTAATCCTTAGGCATGACAAAACATCTGTTTGCAAAAAATTATCTTCTCATTGCTTTTTTGCTTGATGTCTGGTCTTAACCAAGTTACTTCACCTTTTTCCTTTTTTCTCATCTCCAATTAATCAATCTTGCAAGCTTTTGGGAAACCTTCAGCCCAATATTCTCTATTATGCATTTATCTATATTTGCATAGAAGTTCATTTTTCTACACAAATAGAAGCAGTCTGGAATTTATTTGTGCAAAATCAGACAACATTGTGATTGAAATGCTTTGGTGAACAGTATTCCATGATTAAGCATATCATCCAACCAGAGTTTAGATTTAGTTCAGGTTGAACAGTGGGTCCTCACTATTTTTTATAAAATTCTTAATAGAACTTTGTATAAGATACTGTGAAATTAAAAACATAAGCCAGTCCTTGGCAAAATATAGTCTAGAAAGTAATTCTTTCTTCATCATGGAAAACAACCATGTTATTTGCAGTTATTCCTTAGGATACTTGGTTTACAATTTGATTTTGTACACTAATTTTGTACACTGTGCTCTAATTATAATTTCACTTTTAGCCCATTTCTGACTTATACAGTTGCAGCTGACTGGGATCATTCTTGATTTGTGGTACATAAAATTAAAGTGTTATGTGTCAAATACATTCTAATATACAAGCAACAACCAAGTATTTTAAGACATTTCATACCCTATTTGTAATCAAATAATATTTCTGTTAAAATGTAAGTATATTTGATTAACACAATTAAAATAAAAAAGCAGGGGAAAACTATAATAATAAACAGTATATTGAATAGTGTCAGTGATATGTAAACTATATGTCAGATGAAAATAAAAACTCTAGAATCCAAATTTGGATTGTGGCTCAATTCCATGTATAGAATTGTAGTCCTCGAATGGTTTCCAAACAAGATTGAATTGTATGTTATATTTTCTTTTCAAATATGAAGTTATTCTAAGCATTGAAATGCTTTACTAAGCATTTTTCCATAGAGGGGACCAAAGATCTCTTCTAAAAAAAAAAATCCTTGCAGCTGTTAAGATATACTATACAACTTAGTATATATTGAATAAATATATATTTGAGTGAAGTTTAATCAAAATATCTCAGGATAAAATGGAATTACCACTTTCAAGTTTTCTTCCATTTTGTAGGTGAATCATAGTGTTGTTCAGCTTTACAGCATTGGCATCACATATGGAAGAAGGATCCAATCCATTCAATGCATTTTTAACATTTTGTAGAGATGGAGTAACAGAATTTAGCAATCATGAATGGAATAGTGTATCAGCAGTAAAACATAACAAGATTTTCAAATTGCAAAATTCTGAAGTATCAAGTTGATTTCACTAACACTGCTGTTATCCAAGGTAGTGTGGGTTCAGAAACCTGACCTGTATAGTTTTTAGTTTATGATGAATAGAATTTTAAGAAAATGAATGCAGTGTTCTTTATAATGTTATAAATGGCCATATGATATCGCAGTCATATGTATAGGCTACCTTTTCAAGATAATTCATCTGTCAGCCCTGGAGGCCATCTTTTCTTTTAGATCTTCAGGGCTGCCACACTTAGTGCTGTGGGAAAGTGGGAGGGCGGTTGTATGGAGTTGGTAGAGTTATTTAGCCATAACAACATTCTTTTCTCTGAGAGTCAAGGACGTTCAGCCTGCATCTGGAGTGGTATGCCTGGGAGGCATCTCCAGCTGAGACAGTGGATTGATTGGACCATGTGATAGACATGTGGGTGCAGGGGAAGGGACTTCGACTTTCTTTTGGGTGGGGAAAACCAGGTAGCTTTCAGATTTTCCCAGATGTGCCAATATGACATGTCTAATAAAATAGATTTCTGAGGAATCGAATGCCTCGGAGTCTTACTTGGTTGGGGGGTGTTACTTGGAACCCTGACATTATCATTTTCATACCTTTACAGTGATAGCCTGAACGTAAGTGGCTATCTTGACATATGTATATACATTGTTACGCATGGAAGTTTCTTTTCTAAGTGATATTGATTTTTAAAAAACCCTCCCAAAATTATTATTGGAAAGGTGTCCTAAGGGCTGACAAAAATGCATACCTATGCAGTCCTGCTGTATTTTTAGCTCAGTAATGTTGAACAGGATTATGGGCTATTTGAAATGTGATCAAGAATGAGTCAGTGGATCCTTCTCTTAGTTCATTTGGATAATTAACCAAATTTAATGTATTACAAAGTGGTCCATTTTATTTCCTTTTTTAATATTAAAATTAATATTAAAAGAAAGCAGTAGCAGTGATTGTTGGCAGACCTTGCAAGCAAGGCAAAAAAGAGGAGGGGATTCATGAAATTTGTAAAACTTTCCCCTTTCCTCTGAAAAATTTTGATAATATAAAAATTGTGATAGCAATTATGAAGAAGATTGGAGAGAGTAATTAAGAAAAAAAAATAGTTCAGATAGTATAAGCCAAGATTTAACAGGTTAACATAAGAGTTAACATTACCATATTAATTAACCTGGCATAATGTATTGTTTTGCCATAATGGTTGTGTGCCATCAGGTTGGTATGTAATAGTAATAGAATAGTGCTTATTTTCCTAATAAATTTCAGTTGAACTTTTTCAATCTGATGTCCTTGAGATGTAGATTGCAAACTTTGGTCAGTTAGGGAATTGGAAAACCCAATACATCTGGAGACACCAGATTGGAAAGGTGAGTCTGAACCAGTGGTGAAATGTAAAATTTGTTACTACCGGTTCTGTGGGCATGGCTTGGTGGTGGTGGTGGTAATATGACTAAGTGGGCGTGGCCAACTTTTTTTTTTACTTTTAAAACCATTTTTTCTTTTTCTAAAGGGGTTGTAAAAAAAATGCTTTTAAAGCCTCTGACGATTCCAGCTGACTTGCCTGATCGGCAGAGGCTTTTTTTCCTTTTAAAAACATTTTTTCTATAAGCTCTTCGGCCAAAGAGGTTGTAGAAAAAATGCTTTTAAAAGCCTCTGATGATCCCAGCTGAGCCGCGCGATCATCAGAGGCTTTTTTTTTTACTTTTAAAAGCATTTTTTCGGCCATAGTGGTTGTAGAAAAAATGCTTTTAAAAATTAAAAAAAAAGCTCTGATGATTGCACGGCTCAGCTGGGCAATGGGGTGGGACAGGGATTTTTGTTACCGGTTCTCCGAACCACTCGCCTTCATCGCTACTGGATCGACGATCTGGTCTAAACTGGGAGCATTTCACCCCTGATCTGAACCATTAATGAATACAGCAAGGACTGAGTTCCAGTCTGTTGCCTTTCTATGGAATACTGGCAGCATTGTTTCAAAGATTGTAGAACATAGAACATCAAACTTGGTGGAGTAGAGCAAAGAATATTAACTACAGCCATAACAAAAACTACATTTGACTTTTTAAAATTTAAATTTAGAGTTTAATGTAATCAATTGTATATAATTAATGTCATTACACCCTACATATGTATTAATGTTCCTGTTCTGCTAGACAAGTGAGTTTCAGAGGGACTCTTAGAAAGATGCTTGTGATTCTGGAGTTGAGGTTGCATACTTCTGGATAAAAGGATGACCAGCTGTATGAACTATTCCATAAATTCTTCTTCAGTTCATCAATCCTCTAAATAATGTTAACAATATGCCTTTCTTTCTTGAGATTTTCCTTGAACAAAATCTGTCCAGTGTGAGTTTAAAAGTGAGATCTACGTTTGGTTTGGGACAGCAGTTTCATAAACAAATAATTGCTCTATTTCTGTATTGTTTCAGGAAACTTGCCATATGATTACAAAATAGTGATTGCTGGGAATCATGAACTAACATTTGATAAGGAATTCATGGCAGACCTTGTAAAACAGGATTACTACCGCTTTCCTTCTGTATCCAAATTGAAACCAGAGGACTTTGACAATGTTCAGTCACTTTTGACAAACAGTATTTACTTGCAAGATTCTGAGGTAACCGTCAAAGGATTCCGAATATATGGCGCCCCTTGGTAAGTCTAAAATTTACCTTTATGTCCATACATATGTAATTAGTTCCACAATCTGTGAAATTCTTATCTTAACATAGTATGTAATTTCTTCTGAATAAGGGAAGTAATAGATACTCCATAACTCAAACTCTTGTATGTTTGTTAGAAAACTAAGGCTATGAGCAAAGTCTGGAATAATCCGTTATTTTACATAATAAATTTGAAATTCAAAACTACTGGTTTTATTTAATAGCTGTACTCCAGAAGTGTAACAGATTTTGTGTGTGTGTTTTTAAATGACCCATAACTTTCTTATGTCAGAGAGCAGAGATTGAGGAAATGGATAAAACTGCAAAAATAATGTCCAATTAAGTTTGATGCTGTTCCCTTTACTTCAGTGTGTCAGCTTTCATATGAAAATTAAACTGAGCTCATCTGATTAGTATGATCTGTTCATTGCAAGGGAGAAAAAAAGTATTCTTTGAAAGACACTTAATGATGGTTATTGTAAGTCTGCTTGTTCTCACAGCTCTTTTGTTAGTAATCTGCTAATTAGATACTGCACATAGTTAAGATCTCATATGTCCCCACCTATGTCTCTACTAATCATGGCAGGGTTCCTCTTCATTTAACTCCTTATGCACTTAATAGAAAATGCTTAAGTTGAATGTTTACTACAAGGAATTATGACAGTCTGCTATTTATTTCAAGTTATTTAAAAGCTGTAATTATGTTTTCGTTTTTATGTTTGTTTTATATTGAGTAATTGAAGAAAAAAAAATCTACTTTTTTATACTTTCCAGTCTATTTGAAAAACAGAAGATGCTGTATGTATGCATATACATGAATATTCACATACCTGCATGTATGCATAGCCAGAGACCAGGGTGAGAGAAAGAGAGTAGAATATTATCCTCACATAATACTTGGTTTAATTGTCTTGCACCAAAATCTTTCTGCATGATTTGGAACTTAAATTATCTTCCGGATGTCTTGCAAATAACCTAAATGTGACGGGCAAAAGAAGAATGGGACAGCAGAGAATGAGCTGGCTGGATGGAGTCACTGAGGCAGTCGGCGTAAACCTAAATGGACTCCGGGGGATGGTAGAGGATAGGAAGGCCTGGAGAAATGTTGTCAATGGAGTTATGGTGGGTCGGACACGACTTCGCGACTAAGAACAACAAAATGGGACCTTTAAAACATATTTTCCCATTCATGTCCATACTACCGTATTTTTCAGAGTATAAGACGCACCTGAGTATAAGACACACCTTAGTTTTTTGGGAGGAAAATAAGAAAAAAGCTGATTGACAGGTGGATCGACCCCCAATCAGCTGTTCCCAGAGGTGAATTTTAGCAACAGGTTCCTTGGTTGTGAACTCTATGCCTTGCTTTTTTTTGCTTTTTTCCTGCCTCTGAAAACCTCCGAAACAGAGCTTCAGAAAAAAAGCCTCTGAAGCTCTGTTTGGGAGCTTCTTTTCTGAAACTTCTTTTCTGATGCTTTTTTCAGCCTCTGAAACCTCTGTTTGAGAAGCTGGGCAGGGCTATATTCGGAGTATAAGACGCACCCAGATTTTCACCCTCTTTTTTGGGGGGAAAAGGTGCGTCTTATACTCAGAAAAATACGGTGGTTAAAAAGATGTCAATCTTTAATCACAAAAAAGAATGCAAGAGAAGAATTTACCTTACCTCAGATTTCAGCAATCTGATCTCTTCCAGTTGGTTTGGACTTCAACTCCCATCAACTGCATAGCCAATTTTAAAGGATGATGGGAGTTAATGTTCCCAAAGTTTTAGAAGTTATTTCACTCTCATTTCTCCTTTAAGACCTGTTCCCAGAATAGGCTGAGGGTTCAACAAAGGGAAGATTCACTCCTGTCTTATGTATTACATTTACTGTTAAAAATCGAATCGAATTGTAACTTTGTGAAAACAAATGAAATCAGAACTTTACGAAATGTTCCCTCCCTCTTTTGTCTACTTTTCCTTTTAGTCAACAAAAGCAATTCAAACTTCATTTAAATGAGTGAGTTGTATGTTGGAGAATTACATCATATAAAAACAATAAACCTAAGTGTTGAAAATTATGCTGATAATATCCTTTGTATACAATGTGTGTATATACAAAACGAAGGTACAGTTATCTAGATTATATATTTATTGTCATTTCAGAGAATCCACGGAAGTTCTGTATTGGCAGCATTCACTTTGTCACACTTTTTATGGATATTAGTAATAGATCTGTCTGTAGCCAAGTCCTGTATCAGAACTAAGAGCTTTTGTCACCTTTCCTTTACTTGCTCATCAACAGGGTAGGGTCATGTAAAAAGCAGTGAGAAGTGAAATTGGTGCCTCCAACTCTGTTATTCTGTTAAATGCATAGCTTCTAATTAGAGGTAGTTCTCAACTTACAACAGTTCATTAAAGACCATTCAAATTTATGGCACTGATCGTTTTTCACAGTTACAACCATTGCAGCATCTCCCTGGTCACATGATCAAAATTCAGATGCTTGACAACTGGTTCATATTTATGACCGTTGCAGTGTCCTGGGGTCATGTGATCAGATTTTGCAACCTTCTGACAAGCAAAGTCAATGGGGAAGCCAGATTCACTTAACAACTATGTTACTAACTTAACAAATGCAGTGATTCACTTAACAACTGTGGCAAGAAAAGTCATAAAATGAGGGAAACACACTTAAATGTTTCACTTAGCAACATAATTTTTGGGCTCAGTTATGGTCATAACTCAAGGACTAACTATACTTACAACTCACCATTATAATCTATTGTATAGTAACTTCTGTACATTTAGCTGCAGCTAGAAGAGCTGGTAGTGAAAGCATTAGATGAGGCTGTCAACAAGTGGTAGACCACAAGTAAATTGGAAGTAAATTCCAATTAAATTTGTAACTTTGTTTAAAGTGAGTCAAGAACTTTTGTTATTTCTACTCTAACATGGACACTCTTCTTCTTTGTGCCTATATTTCTCCCTTCTCAGGTTTTATTTAGTATTAGTATTAGTATTAGTATTAGTATTAGTATTAGTATTAGTATAGTATAGTATAGTATAGTATAGTATAGTATAGTATAGTATAGTAATTAAGAAATGCATTCTTCATCTTGTAGTTTTAGATTTGTTGAGTTATAACTTCCAAGTTGGATTCAGGTTGAAGAGATCGAGTTGCAAACTTGTCATGCAGCTCATGTTGAGCCAATTACAGTATTTATCTTTAAGCCCAGACTCCTTCACCAGGAAGAAATAAATACTCTGCATTTAATTCCTAAGACAAGAAATGTAGGGATATTCATTAAACTCCTTTATGCAACATTACATTGCAAAAAAGATTCAGCATAAAATCCAATATGAATAAAAAGTGTATATAAAGAAAGTGAGCAGAACAAACAGATTCTCACACAATAAAATTCCACAGATAGATATGGAATCCTGTATCAAATTAATTTGTAATAATAAATATAATTAAAAATGCCAACAGGAGGAGTTTAGGAATATTTATATTCCATTGAGTAGAATAATTTTCCTGTGAAAAGCACAGACATCTGCTATAATCTGTAATGATAGATAAAAAAAATGTGAAAATATTCCTCTTGAGTCAAATCTTAGTCTTCGAGCCTTGCAGCCTTGTAAGTACCATGTTTTCCTGAAAATAAGATCCAACCAGAAAATAAGCCTATCCTGATTTTTCATGCTGCTTGCAATATAAGCCCCAAAAATAAGCCCCAGCAAAGATGGTCATCAGCCAGGAGGTGATGAGCATACGGGGGAGTGTATGGCAGCAGCCACAGCCCATTCAGCTCAGGTGTGTCCCAGAGCTGCAACCATCACCCAGCCCCCTAAGCAGGGGAATCCATGGAGTGGAACCATCCCTCCAATTGGAAGCTTCAAAATTAAGTAGATGGACTAGGAATGGAATCTGCCATATCGCAATATTATATACTTTTTCTCTTTGGTTTCTCTTTTTTTCCCCCATTGTGGCTCTTTTTCTGAGAGCTATATTGAATTTTGACTGTAGGTTCCCTCCCTGAATTTCTCGATGGATGGCATTAGTTTCATCAGGAATGATGTTGGTGTCGCTGAAAAAACCTCTTTTTGTTCCACCATAAAAATAAAGAAAAATAGAGACTTCTGTGATTATACGCATGGTGTTTTACAATATGTACAATTTGGTATGATTTGTACTATTCAGTACAAATACATTTGAGATTTTAAAAAAATTAAATGCTTATCATCCATCCTAATTGGAATAATGATTTTAATTCAGTTGAACACTTTTCACTATATTTAAAGATAATGAGATATCTACATATCGGGCACAGTATACAGTTAGATGAATGGGAAAGGGCATGGGAAAACAATTACAGTATGACAATATCAGTAGCATATAAGGAGAATCACTATAAAATGTGGTACAGATGGTATCTAGCTCCTTCAAGGCTAGCGAAAATGTACCCGAATGTAAAATCTGTTTGCTGGAAATGTAAACAAGCTCAGGGTACTTTCTTCCATGCCTGGTGGCTTTGCCCGGAAATCAAGAAATATTGGAGGAAAATAAAAACATGGATAGTAGAAATAATAGAGCAAGAAATTGAATTAGAACCAGAAATCTTTTTATGAGGCATGATTAAAGGGAACATTAGAAAAGACATAAAATATCTAACACTACATATAATTACAGCGGCTAGATTGGCACTAGCACAATTGTGGAAAACAGATCGTTTGCCAACGGACCAGGAGGTAATTCAAAAAATTTATACATGTGCAGAAATGGACAAATTAACCTTAGAATTAAAAGACAAGGAAGACTCAAAATATTTTAAACTATGGAATAGATGGTACAAGTGGATAGATCAAAAGGAAAAAAAGTAAAGACAAAATTTAGGAAAAATTAAAAGTAATAAATAGGCACCGTCATGTAGATAGAGTAGGTAATAAGTCACTGTTTATATATGTGTGTATATATAAGTACATATATTCAGTTTGTTTGTGGTGATTTG